GCCTTCATACACAAAAAATATATATGGGAGATATTGAAATGTTTGTACCAAGGTTGGGAGTGTGCTCTTTTAGTGTGCAGAAAGACCAGAGTTCCATCTCCAGCAATATATAAACAGGTTTGGTGGTGCACACTTACAATCCTGACAGGGGGTAGAGGCAGGAGGATCTGGAATCCAAGGTCATCTACACTGGGTGGATAGGTAGAGACAGGCAGATACCCACACAGCCAACCTAGGCTCTTTGACAGTCCTGAATCAATGAAAGACCCTCAAAAACCATGGTGGATGACTTCTAAGGAATGGTATTTCAGGTTATACTTGAGTTTCTGTATGCATGCCCCCATAACACACACGCACACACACACACACACACACACACACACACACATATGGGGAATCCTTTATCAACTCAGATTTTTCATCAGCTATGACTGGAAATTTATACACTCCAATTCTGTGAGGAGGATGCACTGCACTGCAAATGGGCTCTTAGATTTTAGGTTCAAGCATAAAGCATGAAGTTGAATATGAAGTCCAGATTCCTAAGAGCCTTCCTCTGGTCCCTTGCACAGTATACAGAGGCAGGTCCCCATTAGTCTTAGTTTCCTTCCCAGTGACTGTGATAAACAATCCTGACGAGGGCAACTTAAGAGAGAAAGAGCTCCTTGTGACTTACAGATCCAGAGTGCTGCTGTCCGTCAGGGCTGAAAAGGCATGGTAGCAGACTGGGAAGGGCATAATGGCAGGAACATCAGGTCCTGTTCACATTGCTCCCTCAGTCAAGAGGTGGAGCTCATGAACAGGAAGCTGGGTGGGGCTATAAATAACTCAAGGCCTGCCCCAGTGACCCACTTTACCCAGCAAAGCTCCTGCACCTAAAGGTTGCATAGCCTTACCCAATACTGGCCCCAGCTGGAGACCAAGTGTCCAAACACACCCACCTTTGGGGGACATTCCACACTCAAAGACCACCACCTGTGTCTTGACCATAAGCCTGTTGAGTAGGACAGTGAGCCTAGCAGTCCCCGTTTTTATTGTAATTTTTCTCCTTTCTGAACTGTTTGAATTTCATAAATTAAGTATAAATATTATGTGAATTGCTTTAGTCAATTCTCATTGTAGAGTGTTTATCTCTTTCTTCTATTAAGGATAAACCTACACTTGTATCATATAGAGACATACATGTGTATATATATACTGAATATATTCCCTAATTGCCCTCCTTGGCTGTGGTGTCATTGTATATATTTGTGTATATGTGTGTGATGTCTGTTTGTGATCCTCTCTATCACTAGATTAAATATGTAAAATCTTAAATTTAATTACAGAAAACACTCATGATTTCTTATATTTTATTTTCAATCTCTATGTGATTCATTTTTATTGATAACGTGAGGTAAATATTTAAGTTTCTTTTCTTCCAAAAGGTTAAACTATTGTTATCTCCTAGAGGAACAACCCTGAAATGAGAGAGAGAGAGAGAGAGAGAGAGAGAGAGAGAGAGAGACAGAGACAGAGACAGAGACAGAGACAGAGACAGAGACAGAGACAGAGACAGAGACAGAGACAGAGAGAGAGAGAGAGAACCTGTGTGAATATGTGGGCACCATGAACATATAAGCATCCACAGAGACCAGAAGAGGGCTTTGGATCCCCTGGAACTGGAGTTACAGACTGTTGTGAGCTTCCATGTGGGTGCTGAGAACTGAACTCTGGGTCCTTTTGCAAGAGCAACTGGTGGTCTCAACTACTAAGTCATCTCTCTAGCCCTTGAATTAGTGTTTTGACTGCCTCCTGACATACATACATACATACATACATACATACTTTATTTTTTTAAGTTTCACTTTGCATTCCAACCTCAGTTCTCCCTCCCAAACCCCTTCCCTCCCCTCAAACCCCACTCCCTGTCCACTTGTTCTTATGGGTAAGGGCTTCCATGAGGAGTCAACAAAGTCTAGCACATTAAGTCAGGGCAGAACCAAGTCCTTCTGCCATGCATTTTTTATAGGATTTTTTAGTTGTTAGGAGTCTGAAAGGAAGTAATCAAGACAAACTTCCCATGTGATTCATGTGTGCTCAGGACTCAGTCTTCCTACTGGAGGAGAATGTCTACTTCAGTGATCTGATTGTAAACACCGCAGGAAGAGAAACACAGAAAAGTCAGCTTTCTAATCGACAGCAAAGCAATTATTTATCCATCTGCATCGTTTCCACCTTCCTTCTTAGAAACGGAGCTCTAAATTCTTGTCTCAGTTCATGAGCAGTTGAGTACAATGAGCAACTGACAGATACTAGCCTTGGAGCTAGGAAGCATCTTGACCTTGTACACTAATGCTAAAGGCAAACAGTGGGTTACGTTCACTTCTTGTGGCTCAGTAGGATATGGATGTGATGGTAGGAGCCTAATAAAGTCTATTGGAATGTACAACATCGTGTTTAAGAGAGCAGATGAATGGGGAACAAGGAGCCTGGTCCCTGATTTCATGAAATGGGTAACCCAAGAAACAGAACTATCTTTTTATTGTTGTTTTTTTCCAGACAGGGTTTCTCTGTATTGTTTTGGAGGCTGTCCTGGAACTCGCTCTGTAGACTAGGCTGGCCTTGAACTCACAGAGATCCACCTGCCTCTGCCTCCTGAGTGCTGGGATTAAAGGTGTGCGCTACCAACGCCCGGCCCAGAACCTTCTTTTAACTAGTGTAAGATGTAGTTTTCTTTTTAAAATTTGGATTCTGGTTATTTGAAGCTGTGTCTAATCTCAGTTATACAGAGGATTAAAACACAAGGAAAATGTATTATTCAATGTTATATTCTCACTACTCTGACACAGGGCCTAGAACAAAGTAAATGTCAATAAATGTTTGTACAGGGGATTTATTTCCACGTTCAGGCCTGATCGTGGTAACTCTGAAATGTTAGTTTGTTTTTTAATGTTTTTACATATATTTATTTTGTGCCACTCAGTGCATGTGGAGGTCAGAGGACAACTTACAGGAGTCAGTTCTCTCCTCTCATCCAGGATTGAACTCAGGTCATCAGGCTTGGTAGCAAGCACCTTTGCTGCCAAGATGTCTCAGTGGTCAGATAAACCAAAGTACACATATTCTTCACTGTGTCCTTTGGATGCTAGCCTCTTGATGACTTTGGATCCCTAAGGGAAACATCACACACCTTGGGATGTTTTCTTTAACAGTTGCCTTCCTAGACAACTTTGGAAAGACCTCTTTTCTTTGACATCGTGTGCTTAAGAACGGATGCACCTGGGGAACACACAACACTTTTTCCCTGGAGCACACCATGAGAGGTGGGTGATCTTGACTAGGTCTCAGTCAAGCCCTGAGTCTGCCCGACAGCTTCTCTGCAAAGTTTATACCCTTATTTAATTGCAGTTATATCCTTTGTCATTCCCCTGGGGGCCATCTTTATGGAGAAAGAGGCAATTGGCTGAGGATGCTAGGAGAGAACATTTCTTGCTAATTATTTAATTTTCATCTGGCACCAACTACAGTCTCTTAACTTTAGTGAGAGCAATAAATCAATTACCTTCCTTTGTAACCAAGGAGCCTAGCTAGCACCTAAGACACAAGACAAATGTACCACTCCTTCTATGTCCCCAATCCTAGCCTATGAATGTGCTTTTCTCTTCAACTCACAATGTGGAGAGCACAAATGAATGTTCCAGGCTTGTGAAACTGAGGCATAGTGATATTGCAGTGTGTTCACAAAGGCTTCCTCCCTGCAGGAGGAAGCTGTCCTTCATTGCCACCAGAGTCAATTCAATATGATATGCATTGACATTGTTCTGATAAACCATTGATGAATACTTTGGGAAATGGAGGCTTGGAGAGCTGAAATCAATCACTCAGGTAACACCACTTCTAAATAGCAAGGCTAGGGTGTAGCCCAGGACACTCTGCTTTTGATTTAGACCACTTCTAAATAGCAAGGCTAGGGTGTGGCCCAGGACACTCTGCTTTTGATTTAGACCACCTCTGGTTGAGTTTTGTTGGTGGTAGTGGTTGGTTGGTTGCTTGGTTAGCTTTTAAATTTCCCAAAGAGAAGATCTCTAAGTTTCTTCTTTCATTACCTAACTCTCATTTTCCTACTGAAACACAACCAAGGGTCCTTTCTCTGGGAAACTGTCCTTGGTCCTTCCAATCCAGGGCTCCCCTGGGTCCCTGTGATAAGAACATGTCCCTTGAACAGGATGCTGGATATGTGCCACAAATGTTTGCTGGAGTTTCAATAGAAAATATCCTTATAGGCTCTTGTGTTTGAACCCTTGGTTCAGCTGTAGATGGCATATTGCCTTCAGGGGTTATGAAATCTTTGTATGAGGTCTGACTGGGGAAGTAGGTCACTGGGGACAAGTCTTCTGAGTTATAACTAGGACCCTCTTTCAGTACAAACTGTCTGCTTTTTGATTAGGACACTGAGGAGTAAGAAAGTTCTGTCAGAAGCTTCTGCTGTTAGGGAAAATGTTGCCTAAGGCCATGGCTTCCTGACCATGATGGACTGCAACTCTCAGCCATGAGTCAACATAACTCCTTCTTCCCTTACCTTGCTTCTGTCAGGTATTTTTACAAACTAAAAAGGTAATCAATACAATGCTTCCCATTGTTTGTCTGCTTTGATTCTCATATGCTCTGTGTTGGAAGCCATTGTGACTACAGACAATCCATGAGGAGGATGCAAATGGAGATTTGCGTTTTTATTCCTATTCCAAAGTCTGTGCACTCGGCCATTGTAATGTTTTATAATATCTGTGTTTATTAACTTGACTGTCTCCTTCATGGGCTTTTAAGTTCATTAGTCTCAATTGCAATTGCTAAATTTTATTTGTGCCTCCAATTTCCCATATATGGTCTGACACGGCACAGACTGAAAACCAGATCATCTGAATGGAAACCTCAATTTTGGAACACATGCATGCACATGTTTACATGCACACACACACACACACACACACACACACACACACAAAGAGAGAGAGAGAGAATGACACCCCACCTGAGGGTTTCTTTAATTAATCAATTAATTAATTAATAATTGTGGTTTATTGTTGGTGTTGCTCTACCAACCATTGTCCTTGCCTCCTTTGGGGGGATATGTTACAACTGTCTTTCTCTGCTCCCTTGAATCAGATGTGCTTTTGTGACTCAACTTTAGGTCAGGCAATTTGGATAGAAGTGACGAGGGTCACCTCCAAAACTAGAAGCTGTAAAAGTTCACACATGATTTCCCCCTGGTCAGGTGGCCTATAGTGGCTGAGAGTGACTGAAGGGCAAAGCTCCTGTTGACCCACAGTGGACGCTGCAGCTGACAGCCCTGGCTGTGAAGGTCTCTGATGGCTGCCACCACAACACATGTGCCTTAGTCTGTCCTGATGGAGGTTCTATAGAAAGGGTATAGTCGGGGGAGGGGTTCATTTACCACAGAGGAGAAGGAAGGTTCTCATAGTGATTCTTAACCCCCAAAGCTCCTGATCCTGCTGGAATCTTCAGGACTGCCACTGAGCCTGAGAAGACTAGGTTTAGAGGAAGTTGCTGTTCATGTCCTCCATCCCTCTAGGAGCTAAGAGGGTTGAAATGAGTCCTGGTTCCCACTAAAGGGACTTCTGCCAGATGAGCAAAGAAGCTTCCAGGCTAAAGGGCAGCATGCTGTTCTGGAACCTTCTCCCTGAAGGCCTTTTAAAAGCAGTAGAGGTGTCCTGCAGGAGACTGCAGTGAGCTTGTGTCTGGAGGGAGATACACCTGTTGCTCTTGGGAAGTGCCAGCCTTCTGGCTTTATGATTTTATATCCTCCATCGTGGCTGGTTAGAAGATTAATTTATACATTTAACCAGATTTTCCCAGGGTGTAAATTTCCCCCAGAGATAAATTAAACACTTTTAGGGATTCAATCAGACTAGGAGGCCACCAGGGTACCATCCACTGTTTTGCAGCAGCAATTTGCCAAATAGTACCCCGGTGACTTCCACAAACAACGCACATCTGTAGAGAACCTTCCTTTCCATTGAGAAATACACTCTAAGAATTCTTGCCCCAATGTGTGAACAGCTGAGGGTAGGAAATGGGGACAAGGAGCTGTCTCCTTGCTTTGCCCTTCTCCTCCCATCTCCTTAGGGGCTGCTGTGCCAGTGGATGATAAGCCAAGGGCAATTAGGGTGTTGAACGGCCGTGTGTGCAGCCTTTCCTGTTGGTGAGCATCACTTCTCTAGGGACCTTCCTGCCCCAGAAGGCTTCCAGTGCTACCTGCTCCTGTTCCGTTGGGATTCCAAATATGAGGAGCCCTTCCTAGACTGTGTTTCCAGGGTTTTTAGCCACTATGCATAAGATACCAGTTTTAGTTGTCACATGATCAGGTATGCCCAAACATAGGTCACATGTGGCCAAGAAAAGCTATGGATGTAGCCTAATACAGACACTGTAAACTTACTTAAAACATCATGAGGACTTCTTAAACACACACACACACACACACACACACACGGTAATAGGTTTCATAACAGGAATTTTCAAATAATTTAGCATTATTTTAGAATAATGTTATTTATGTGTATGTATATGTTAATGTGTGTCTGTGTTTGAGTATGCTCAGGTGCTTGCAGGTATCCATGGAGGCCAGCAGAGGTAGCCACATCTTCTGAGGCTGAAGTTCCAGGTGGTGGTGTGCCATTTGACAACCGAACTCCAGTCCTCTGTAAGAACAGCAAGCACTGTTAACCATTGAGTCATCTCTCCACCCAGCCACCCCCAATTTGTTGTTATTGATCCTCCCCCCTGATTTTTCTCCCCTCCACCTGCCCCCACCTTGTACTTTTCCAGCCCACATACATACTTTCCTATTTGCCTTCCTGTCTTCTTTGTCCTGATGTCCACTCCCTCTTCTTCAGCACCCCACTTCTCCTTCTCTGATATTCTCTGCCAGTTTCATAGCTATATTCTCGCCCATCCCGTTATATACAATACAGAGGAAATGTTATAAGCTAGAGTCCTCACCTCTGAGATTTCTTTATGATGGTTTCGCTAACTCATTTGCATGGTAGTTAAGCTTGAACTTTGTACACGATGGTTTCCTGTTGCAGTGAGGAAAAGGTTGGACATGCCTCATTGATAGGTCTAGTTTAAATATTACCTTCACTCTTTATGGGCTTTTTGCCACTGTGCCTCACTTTACCCATCTGTAAAGCTGGGCTCCTCACTGTGCCTGCTCTGTGGTGTCACAGTATGCATTAAGTTAAAGAATCTAAAGAGGGTTACAATGGAGTTGATATTAGAGCTTCTTGTTATCCATTGCTTCCTGGATGTCCAGAGAGGCAGGTGCTGAGATACAAATAATGCATGGCTCTTAGAAACTCCCCAACATTCTCCGGGGCTATTTCACGTGTGTTCTAGGGGTTGAACTCAGGTCCTAGTGCTTGCATAGCAAGCAAGTTACTGGCTGAGCCATCTCTCCAGTCCAACTACACTTTCATTAGGAAGTTAACTTGAGTTGTCTGGGAGAGGGCTTGGAGGAATCCATCACACAGAGGTGGGCAGGGGTGGAGGCAGGAGTGTGGAGTTGAAACCCAGAGATGTTTGGTAACCTCTTCAAAGTCATACAGCTTTTTGCTGTCAGTTATACCATCTCCACCTGTGTCCCACACTCCTGCTCCAACCCCATCCCACTTCCACCACAATAAGCTGGTTGATGAGTAACAGCCCATCAGTGTATCCTTTTTGGTCATGTCATCATTGCAGAACAAAGTGAAGGGTGACAGCTGCATAGACCCAAGGCTTTCTTCTCTGTATTGTGACAACATGTCCCAAGGATGAAAACATTTGTAGATCTAACTTTTGGATGTGAAATAGGCGTCAAGCTGAATGTTACTAACTTCGTGGTGCATCCAGTATGTTCTGGGTGACTCATGGATGGGACAGATGCTTTGCCCCTCTTCCTAGACAGCAAGATTTTTATGGCTGTACACGCAGTTCCCTTCCCCCAAATCAGCATATGCATTGCTGATTAGACATTGCTAATTAGCCACCCATCCTGGAATTTCACCCAAAAAATTAATGGTTTGATTGGTTATTCAGAATCTCACACATCCTGACAGCCAGCCGTCAATTGAGAAGGGAAATAATATGCAAACTGAAGATTTATCTTCTTTTTCCCCAATGAATGAGCTTTTCTATGAGCCAGACAGCACTCGGGGAAGCTGCGGATGCCGCCACTCTCATACTGCGTCTAGAGGATCTCTCAAAAGAACCCGGTGATTTTCTAAAGCAGAATGGAGTCTTTAAGGGGTTATTTGGCCCGGCCAGTGAGATGGCTCAGTAGGTAAAGGTGCTTGTTGCGAAGCCTGATGACCTCGGTTTGATCCTCAGGACCCAAACTGTAGAAGGAGAGAGCAGACTTCTACAGTTGCCCTCCGAGGGACATACACGTGCCATGGTATGAGCACACTCACACACGCCCACAAGTAAATAAATACATCAATAAATGCAAAGGCAGAGTTTTTTGCTTCACATATAAACAATCAGGAAGTGGGGTGCAATGCAATAGTTTTGGGGGTATTGTACAGAGGTTTTACAAAGATCCCGATGGAAGCTTTGAAACAAAACAAAAGTAGTGATGAGATACGTGTGAGCTTAAACTGCAGGCTTTCTGGGGTCTGAAAGTAGCAGCTGATTCACTGGGAGAAAGCCTGGCTTACAAAGGATGGTGAAGGTCCTGCTTTGTCTCTGCTCTGAGATGGATTTACCAATCAGATGATAGAAAACAACTTCCCAGGAAGAACTCTTTACATGGTCCTCAAAAATAGCTAAATGAGCATTTATAGTGTTCATAGAATTCTACATATGCATAGAACTTGGAATTCCAGAAGGCACTGGGGGAAAGGGAGAGCAGGAGGGCAGAAGGAAGGAAGGATAGAAGGAAGAAAGAAGGAACAGACAGAGGTAGGAAGAGAGGGAGAGAGGCAGGGAGAAAGGAAGGGAAGGGTGGGGGAGTATAACATCTCTAAGGTGCATACATCTATAAAGTATGAAATATAGAGTGATAAATCTACACGATTTTAGCCATCCCTTGTAACACAACACCCGTGAACACTCAAGTATCCCAGGTGGGTCTTGAACACATTTTTGGACCAAAGATGGCCTTGAATGTCTGACCCTCTTACATCCTGAATGTGGGGATTACAGGTATGTGCCATCACACCTGGTGTATACAGTTCTGGCAATCAAGTCCAGGGCTTTGTGTGTGTCAAGCAAGCACTCAAGTGAGCTACAGCTACAGACCAACATCTTGTCTTCTGTAACACCAAGAATTTTTTTCAGGCAATTAAAGGGAATTTCAGAGGACTTGAGAAAATCACTCCATCATCACTTCTACCTCCTGATGTTGTAGAAAGAGTCTCCAGTTCTCCAAAAATGGAGCCATGAAAACATGAGTACCTCACTGGCTTCTTCACTTTGGCAACAGATAAGAAACAAACACAGTCACCAGCATTCATTAAAATTCAACTCTAAGAATATGCCTAATGATATTTTTCATGAATCTGACCTGAAGCTGCTCCCCAGAGAGAAATGAAATTACATCTGACTTAGTAATGTGCTTTCATTATCCCAGGTCTTAAAAGAGAAGAAGCTCTGAAAATGAATGGGGAAAGGCTCCTCCCCAAAGCAGTGCTCCAAGTTATGTTTGTTTAATCAATAGCATTTGAGAGGCTGAGGACACAGCTCAGTTGCCAGAGTACAGCCTGCACAAAGCCCTGTGTTCCATTGCCAGCAATGTATAAGCTAGGTATGGTGATACATAATCATAATTCCAGAATTAAAATAATAATAATAATAGTAATCATAATCCCAGATTAAAATAATAATAATAGTAATCATAATCATAATCCCAGAATTTCTGAAGTAGATGCAGAAGATTCAGGAGTTCAAAATCTGCCTTGGCTACCTGGCCATGTCATGGTTTAAGCTCCTTGATACCTTTGGATGGACAATAGTGATTCTCAGACTTGGCAGGCAGCTGCTCAACAGAACACCTAGGGAGCTTTCCCTATGCCCCAAGCCAATTAGACCTGAAATTCTGGGGGTGGAACCCAGGCACCAGCACTTTCTGTAACTTCCCAGGTGATTATAGCTGAAGCCAAGCTTGAGGGGTAATGAAGTAAGAGATAAGTTATAGGGATGATTGGAGTGTTGGCCTCTGTTTTAGTTAGGGTTCTATTGCTATGAAGAGATGCCATGACTAGAACAACTCTTATAAAGGAAAACATTTAATTGAGGCTGGCTTACAGTTTCACAGGCTTAGTTCACTATCATCATGGTGGGAAGCACAGTAGCATTCAAGCAGACATGGTGCTGAAGAAGGAGCTGAGGGTTCTACGGCTGGATTGGCAGACAGCAGGAAGAGAATGACATACTGGGACTGGCTTGAGCATCTCAAACCTCAAAGACTGCCCCAATGACACACTTCCTCCAACAATGCCCTATCTACACCAATAAGGTCACACCTCCTAATAGTGCCACTCCCTAAGAGTCTGTGTGGGCTTTCTTCTTTCAAACCACCACAGCCTCTACCACTGTGTCCTCTCCTCCTGGACCTGTGGGTCCTTAAACTTCTGGTGTGGCACCTGCTGTGCGGCCTGCATCCGAGAATGTAGCGAGGTGGTCGGGATAGATGACACAGAGACCGGTCGGTTGCTTTAAGAAAACTTTATGCTTCCCAAGTCAGCTTAGGAGGAGATTCCAAGTCCGCTTAGGAAAAGTCTCAGGAGAAGTCTCCCTAAGAAAAAGGAGCTTCCCTTTTTTAAGGACTTCTGCCATTCATCTACATACCATTCTTTCCACTTCTCACCCTCCTGGCTGGTGGTTTAATCTCCCGCCCCAGAATCGGGGAGACACCACAGGGGGGACAGGAAGAGGCATCTAGCCTTAGGGGGTGTGAAAGGCATGGTATTTCAGTGAGCAAGCCCTTATCTGAGCCCTATCAAGAGCTTTAGCACTGAATTGTTTTCAGTAAACATTACACAGATGCCTGCTCCCAGGCCGAAGGGGAAGTGGGTTTCTGCTCAAGGTCTGGTGTCCCCACATTCTGGTGGTGGTGGTGATGCCTCAAAGTGAGCACAAATGTCTTCTCTGGTCCTTGATTCTGGACTAAGCCACAAGGCCTCTTTTGACCACAAGGGATCCCACAAGGTGATGAGTGGTGAAGTCTAACTAGAAGATGGACTTGCTCTTGAGTGCAATCTCTTTTTACTATATACAAAAAAAGAGCAAGAGAGATACAGAAAAAAAAGAAAATGTATTCAACTCATAGAACAAAGCCTAAGACCAACCCCCAACACACACCGGGTATGGGAGGGGGTGAGGCTTAGGATGCAAGCAGATGAGCTTGTGGGGTGGTGAAAGTGATAGGTAAACTTTTTGTTATTGTTTAAGAATTATCGGCTGCAGACTGAGGAGATAATCCAGTTGGAGTAAAACAAACAAAAACTTGCATTGCAAGCATGGCAACCAGAGTTTGGCTCCAATTCTGGGGAGGCAGAGACAGGTTTGCTGTCCCAGTAAGTGGTGAGCTCTAGGTCAGTAAGAAACCCTGTTTCCAAAAGGGAAGAAGGGGATATTAAGAAAAATCAAAGGGGGAAGAAAGAGGGGTAATGCCTAAGAATAACACTATGTCTTCTGACTTGCACATGGTTGCAAACACACCTGAACACATGAATACATCCCCAGAGCCGTTGACATGACATTATACAGACATGCATTTTAGGTAGCTAAAACATATTTTAAAATATGATGGGGGCCGAAAAAAATGGCTCAACAATTAACAGTGTTTTCTGTCCTTATTGAGGACCAGAGTTCGGTTCCTGGCACCCATGTCTCTAACTCCTGCTCCAAGAGATGTTTGGCACACCCTCTACTGCCCTCTTTGGATATATATATATATATATATATATATATATATATATATATATATATGTACACTTTGGGAAAAGAGCTTCAGTCTTTGTAACCCTTCTGATGTGTCTTGCTGATTTTGTAATTTCACACAGGCTTCTACCTTAATAGATAACTTCTCCAAAGC